CCATTCACTTGTGTGAGTTAAATATACATAATTCCACCATGTTTTAATTTTATTTCATTTAGAAGGAAGATTTAAAATGGATTATGAGCTGAATTCTTGCAAGCCATATTACAGGTCGGTTATATGTTTATGACTGAGCTATAAATCTCTTCAAAACAAACTTTACAATAAAATTATTAAAGGAACATTAACAATATATGAACAATGGTTCTAATATAACAGCCTCATCATAATTCAGCAATAAAAGGAAGGTTAAGATATCTATTTTATTCTTATCTTCAACTAAGAATATTTCCTAATAAAAACATAGTTTTGACATTACTAAAGTGAACTAAGCTACCAGTTAGGTATAATAATGATATACTGTGCAGATGCTACTATCATACAGAAACAGCACAAACATAAAAGAGTCCCTCAACCAAGCATATGGATTGCAAGAAAAATTGTCTATCAGCACTGTTCTCTATTGACGCTTTTGATTAAACTCTCCATGTGTTGATGTATATAGATTAAAAATAACCATAGTGAAAAAAGGATGTACAAAACTTAATTTTTTAGCAAAACAACCCTTGTGGCAGTCTACATAGCGTAGGAATCCTATTTTAAAAGCAAAGATTGAAAACTTTGGTAACCTACAAATGCAGCAGTGACCTATACCCTCTAATGTTTTCTAATGAAAACAAAATACGATTACTCACTCAAAATTGGCTGTTGGCGCTGTCAGAATACAAGCCTTTTTTTCTGTCTGGAGTCAGAAAACCAATGAAGTATGAGATTTATATATGAAGAATAAAATAAAAGCTGCTGTATTGTGTGATGCATGACTGAAAACACAAGGCAGAAAAGGCTGAAGTGTGAGAGTCAGGTAGGGTGAGTGCATTATACACAACCTAACATTAAAAAAAATCTATGTGAAAGAGTGGGTGTAGAAAAATTATTTGAAAAGGAAAAAAGAAGTCAACATAAGAGTTGTATACCACAAACAAACAAAAAACCAAAACCCAAACAAACAAAACCCAAACAAAACAAAACAACAAAAAACAACCAAACAAATTAAAACAAAAACAAAAAAAGAAAAAAGAGTGATAAATTTCTGACAATTCCTTTTTCTTTCTTTCCTCTGAGGGCAAGGGTCTGTGTTCATTGAGGTGGGTTGTAACTTGCAGCTCTTCATGTAAGCTTGGACAAACCAGTCCTATATCAATGTTTGAACTATGCAAACTTGTTCATTTTGAGGCTTAAAAAAACCCCATATATTTCCATCTATGCCTACTTTTAAGTTCCATGTTAAAATAATAGTATTAAAATTACGTATGACACAACTGTACTCCAAAGTATGAAAGTGCTAAAGTATGCTTGGATGGCCATCACTAGAAGTGATTCATTAATGAATATGTCATGTGATGGGGAAAGAATGTGAAGTCCTTCTACCCATTTTGTATCTTTTTAATGGGGAGAGAAATTAAGGCATAAGAGTTACTACTTTTTTTAAAAGTACATGAAAAAAAGAAATTTAAGATCTTACCATGTGCCTCCAGATGTTCTTGAAAGCAAACCCAGTAATATTTGAGAGGAAATTAAAATGCCAACCTGCTGTTGCAGAAGGCAGGGGCCTTCTATTGCATTTCTGGAGCTGAAAAAGCCAGGAATGCTGTGATCTTTCCAAGAGTGTCAGCTGGGAAAGGGATGGCTTCTTCACCAGAATATAATCAAAGAACAAGGTCATGATCTGTCTTTCAGATTAACATAATAAACTTAAGCTCTGGCACTGAATGATGGACTTGTTAGAAAACCAGGATTACTGGACTACAACCAACCAGCTAATTACCAGTAAGCTAATTTATTTATTTTACAGAAAAAAGAAAAAAAGCTTTTCTTTTTAAATAGCAAAAGACACAAGCAGTGAATTTTTTTTTTTTTTACTCAAATGCAAACATCAACATTGTGCTGGTTAGATTTACTTTTTAAACGTAGACATTTTGAATTCTTCCATTCCATTCATTAAATTTTAAAAGAGATTTTTTCTTTTTTTTTTTAGTTATTTTTTTAACGACGCTTACTGTTAAACTTAGTAAGTATTTAACAATTACATAAACTAAGAAGACGTAGTTTGTTCTTATGGAAAGTTTATAAAATAGAAGATGTTAACAGTTTGTTATTGTCAGAGATATATATAGGAGACAAACAAAAATTCAAGTGCTCCTGATAAAAATGACATAACTGCATGAGTGGCAGAAAGCATATCTCTATGCTATACATATAAATATATATGAAACATAGATGTCATCAGAACACAAGTTGTTGTGTGGATGTGACAGTGAACATGGCTATAAAAACAACTTGTCAACAAAAGTGGGCCAGCATAAATATCCAGCACATATCACAATAAATCAGTAATTCCAAAATACATACTCTGATATGTATAGTATATATATATAACCTGATATAGTAAAGTACATTTTTTGACTCTTCTGTCTGTCATGTCTCCCAGTATTATTCAGCAGTAAATCAGTGATTTCTTAGCCAACACTCATGCTTATTATAAGTACCATTATCTAATGCAATAAATATCAGTTTGAGGTACTTCACTCCTGTATTACTTTGAATTCTTTAGTAACAACAATAGCTATTTATAAGTGGCATTAGTAACATCATATTTTCACTTGTAACTGGACCAGCTACATATTGCTTGGGTCAAAATTAAATCCTTCTCAGAGAATTTCTGTCTGACAACAATTAAGACATTTAATTTTAGTTTGGAAACAAAAGCTTCACAGCTCCAATTTATTTAATTCTTACAGCCATAGGGACTGGCAGTTCTAAACAAACACTATTAATAAATAATTAATCTGAAACTAAAGACTAGACTCTTTCTGGAATATTTAACAAATGCCCATTTCAGGAAATCTCACTGGAATGTCTATATTTGTCACAATTACAGCAGAGGGAGAAGAGTGAATGTTTCAGACAGCTAAATTAAAGCATGAGAAAAACAGCAAAACACTGGTTTTGAGACTGGAATAACTTCTCTATTACTTACAATAAGAATTAAAAATACCAAATTTCAAAATGCTTAATAAAGAAGGAACAAATTAGTTGCTGATTCTTTTTGGTAATGGGGACGCATGGCAGTGTAATAAGAAAAGATCCATACAAGCTATCAGGAATAAGATAAAAGGACAAAAAAATTAGAATGACGAAAATTAATAGGAAATCAAACACATTTCTACCTCCCACCTCAGGTTTCAAATGAGGCCTGAAATGTCATTTGTGTAATTATTACTGTATCAGGTTGAAAGCAATTTCAACTCAGCTGATTTGATTGTTCATTAATGGCTGTGAAAAGGAGATAAGGAATGTGCATGGTAAAAATAGCTGCCCATTACAATAGCAAGGAATGGGGTCAACTTACTAGATAACCTTAAATTCCCTGATGGTTCAGGTGGTTTTGGTTTTTTGTTTATTAAAGGTTAACGCCAAATATGAATGTGGAAATAAGCTAATTTAAGACTTTCCTGTCAACCTTTGCTTTCCATATGTGGCTGTTTGAATAGTGACTGACTCTTTGAGAGAGTTTACTAAATCCCAAGGTGCTGATGATGGAAAGTATCAGTAGCTGCATTTCTTGCCTGTCAGTGATGGTTGCAAAGGACAACATGTGGCATTCCTCCTCTTCACTGCAAAGTGACAGTTGACTTGTAATCTGGCAGCAGCTGCAACTTTATTCCCGCAAAATGAGTAAAACAGAATCTAACTCATTGCTTCCTGTTTCAGCCATAGCCAAAAGTCTAAAAAATCCCCATGGCCAACTCTTGACCTGACAGAAATTGGTTAGTGTTGCTGACAGGAAAGAGTTGGAGCCACCAGCCTTTAGAGAACAGCCCTTTTCCTCATATATTTCAGTATTTTAGAGAATCTCTCCATCTCTTGCTTTTCTGTCCTCTCTCCTATATATTTCTTCTTACCTTTACCATATTTTTTTTTTTACCCTGCAGAAGTTCTCCCTTCACATTTGCCTTCTAAACTACTGCTTACATTTAAGTAGGGAAGGATTTGCAAAAGCTGCTGTCACCGTCTAGTGGCTCACTGTACATGGGCTATGGTGTCCTACATTTTGTTAAGACTGGTTTGGTTGTATCCTGCCTCTCCTTCAACTTCGTTTCACCTAAATAGATATAATTACAATATTTTGTCTGAATTCCTTCGTAATTATTTATGAATACTTTATGTTGACCTGCTTACTGAGAGAATCTGGATGTAAAGCAGGCAAGAAAGGATGATAGTTTAGGACATGCCTCATGCAACAAGTAAGTAAGAACTCTTAAGAGGAAAACCTGAACAAAAAAATCTAGTGACCAATGACACATGAAGCTCAAAATTACTATAAAAATACTTTGAAACCCCTTTCAGGTAGTAGAGATAGGCTTTGAAAAGCTGTAGTGAAAAACAAGGCCTGCCAAGCAAGCTCGAGTTGTGATCCTCAGAAAAAAAAGATAAAAAATTATTGCTTTAAAAGTCCTTTCCTCTTATATTTTGTTCCTACTTAGGTAAATAAGAGGAATTGGTATAATGGCAAGGTACCCCTCTAAAAGTACTGATTTGTGAATTTCCTCCACAGGAGTGATAAAGACAAATCCTTCCACTATCTCTTAATGAAAGTCAGCATGTAAGAAATAAAATCCAATTTACTGATTTATAGTAAAACAGTGAATAAATGTGTGAGTCTGGTAAAATTTTCAATTAAAAACCCTCTTTTCTCTTTCTGTTTACAAGAAAGTTACTTTACAATTTGACAAGGAGTCTTTTAACTTGAATGAATTGCTGTCCACAAAATGGCAGGACAGGGAATTCGTAATTGGCTACTTAGCCAGTTGGTTAATTTGAGTGTGCAGGAAGGACTATCTGTGAAAATGAAATCCAGCAAAATAGTGAATCCACAAATTAGGCAGGTCACATCTTAATAAACAATGATGTCTAATTATGAAAGAGTCGGTACTTACTTGCCAAGTGCAAAACACTCCATCTTAACAGTAGCTCCCCTTGCAGCTGTAACTGTGTAAGGAAAATGGACTTCGATTTTTGGTTCATATTCCCCCATCACACCTGGAAAAAAAGTAACATTTAGAATATGAAATATCATCAGTTTTCCAATTTTTGAGATTATTACAGAAAGACTCTGCAGCTTCCTTTATGAACCTGTCCAACAGTAAAGCTAGTAAGAGATGGAGATAGCTTTATTTGATCTGATGTGCTCTGCTCAGGTCCATTCTAAAATGCTCTTCAGGGTTATCAGCAGCACAACAGTGAGCTTAAGAAAAAGGATTTATATTCTCAAACATGGGATAATATTTGCATTTGAAAGATTAAACCAGGCAATCAGTTTTCAGAGGTTGAGAACCTTCACAGACCAAAGCTTTGCTTACCAGTGCAGTGACAGATTTGACATATAAATCGACTTATCATGCTGTGTTCTGTTTAGAACTTCTAAACCCAGCAAGAAAAACTCAAATGATGTAAGAGAATTTATGTATTGAGATAGAAACACAGCTATGCGGACACAAAGTTCCTCATCAAGAACTGGGCATCAAGAAGGCAGGCACAACCTCTTTTCACTTGTGCCCTGTGATAGGATGAAAGGCAATGGATTCAAACTCAAGCACAGGAAGTTCCACCTCAACAAGAGGAAGAACTTCTTTACTGTGAGGGTTACAGAGCACTGGAACAGGCTGCCTAGAGAGGTTGTGGAGTGTCCATCTCTGGAGACTTTCAAGACCTCCCTGGATGCCTTTCTGAGTCATCTGCCCTAGTTTGGGTTATTTTTTTGTTTGTTTTTGGTTTTTTTTTTTTTGTTTATTTTGTCCTGTTCTGGCAGGGGGGTTGGACTCAATGATCTTTGGAGGTCCCTTCTAAACACCTTGAATTATTTTATTTTCAGCGACCCTGATATTTGGGAGATAATTAATTTTATCGGGACAAGATGCTTAGTACTCTAGGATACAACTAGAAAAACATTCATGTGTGTGAAAAATATAAACATTGAAATCAGTAGAATTATCTGAAATTTGTAGTGGAGTGACTGACAGCTTCAGAGAATCACAAGAATTTAGGGAATGAAAAATGAGCAGGGAAGGGAAACAGGTTATATAAGGTGAAGTGAGAAGTTTATATTTGATGTGACTCAGAAGAAATGTCTGATCAGCATGGCAGTAGACTACAACTAACAACTGTGTGCAGTTAGACAGAAGATGGGCTACTGGGGTAAGTAATACTCAGGAACTAAAAGCTACCTAAACAAAGTGAGGATTGTTTGGATTTTTGGATAAAGATAACTGAATAAAATCCAACATGTGGATACAGAAGCAACAAAGTGGGTCTAGTCTGAATCTATAAAAATCAGTCAAGAGTTTCTAAAAAGAATTTTAAAATAAACAAATAGGAGGGAGACAAAAGAAAGGAGAGAAAAGAGGTATCTTATGAAAGAAAGGAAAAGGACTATAAGGAGGAACATGGAAGCAGGGGAATCTAAGATTTACAGGTGAGAGAAGGGCAGCTGGCAGAGACAGATGGAAAACAAACTCAAAACCTATTAGAACAAAACATAATATATATAAGGCTGAAATGCTAAAACATACTTCTAGCCCTTCGAAGATTCCTCATGGGACTCAGGAGTTTTCCATGGAGCTGTGCTCTCTTCCTGCTGTTGTCCCACAGGCTCCTGTGGGTTTGTCTTTAGAGGAAGTCTAAACATACATGCATATAAATATGTCTTTAGGGGCTTAAGTTTAGTTAGCAAATATAAATGTGCTTGATATGTGGATCAAAAAAAGTAAAAAGCATAAAATGCTTTTAATTCAGACAATGTCATTTCACAAATAGTGTGGCTTTATAAGTAGCAGTAAATTTCTTTTTAAAAAACAGAAACATGCAAGTATTACATACCCTAGCAATAGTGGCTCATTTTTCCTAAAAAATCATTATTAAATCAATGCTTTTACTTTTTTTATGAACCTATGGAGAAGTAATGCCCCTTGTATGAAAAAGCAAGTTTTGTTATTAAAGCTTAAAAGGCATATTTTGAAGAAAAAAGGAGATTACTTGTTGTGCCCTGGGTATTAAAATAAAGTTAGGGTATCGACATAATTGTAGTCAATTAAAATTTTCCCTAGCCTAGACTAAAATGATTCCTAGCCTAATCTGTCACAAAAATATATATATTCCCACAGATTTCTACTATGATAATAAGCTTTATACTTTCATTACTTTCCTTGTGATTTTTACTGTTTTCTGGCTGCTTTGTTTTGTTTTGTTTTGTTTTTTTGTGATTATGAATGCCAGCATCTCAGCTGAGTCAGTCATGCCTTTGTAAGACGTCTGTCATACCCCCTTTTGTTGTGTCCTTTACAGACTGAAAAATCCCATATTATTAATCCTTCCTAACAGTCAATCTTTAATAAACTTGCGATCATTCCTACTGCCTATGTTGCATGGTTTTAAGCTCCATTCTATCATTTTTAGATGGGCAGATGAGAACATCATAGCAATATTGAAGCCATAGATCTTTCTATCACTATATTTTGGGGGGTGGGAGCTTTGTTGTTGTTTGTTTGCTTTTGCTTTCCTCATGATTTAGTTCTGTTTGCCTTTTTGCAGCTGAGCTGGTGTTCATCTTCAATGGCACACTAATCTCTTTACTGACTAATAACACATAAAAAAAGTATTGCATTTTTAGATTCAGGTATCCTATAAATTTGTATTAGGTGACATTATTTATCACCTATCTTCTCTGTTACCACAATATCCTCTTGCAGCTCTTCACAGTTAGTTTTGATGTTAACTGTCATTAATTATTTTATATGAACCATCTTTTCTACCTCTGTGTTAATTATTTTTCCAGATGTATATGTATCCGATCATGAAGTTCCAGTTCATTGACTCCCAGTTCTGTAACTGGTCAGATACTCCTACAACAGGTGGATTTTTTTAGCTGTTAATTCAAAATAGGGCTGTCCTTCAACTTCTCTGATAATTTAATTTCTTTGGCAGGCTTTTATGAGTGACCCTGCAAGAGCTATTTGAAATGAATGATCCAAGTGTTACCTTGACCATTCCCATTCATATTCTCCCCAACTCTTCAGGAAAGTTGCATACAGATTGAAACATGACTTCTGTATTTAAAAGCTGTGTTAATGTTATATGACTGTACATGTAAGATTACTGTATGGTAATGTGACAAACACAGTCCTATAAATTGTACTTTTCTATGTGTTTTCTATCAAGACACTTGACACAAATGTCAGACTTACTGGTTCCACAGATGTTCCTGGGAGTCGCTTTTTTTAAACAAGTGTCTTTTCTACCTGCACTTCTTCTAAGCCTGAGGCCCAGCAAGGGAAAATGGTACTTCCCTCTTCCTTTAGGATTACCATATGAGTTCGGCCCTCAGGATTTGCTAGCATTTTAAAGGTCAATATTTATTCTGAAAGTTATTCTATGAGATGAGATGAGAACTTCAGTATTGGTACGAAAACCTCCTTAGGTTCCCTTGTAGTGAACACTGCCGAAAATAGTTCATTTAGATTTTATGATGCAGCCTTACACCCCTGAGGTCTTAGTTTTAAACCTCTGGCATCTGTTGACTCTGAATACTCACTGATAGGTTTTGTGGTTTGACGAATTTAGAACATGCTTTTTTGCTTTTGTGTAAGACTTTGTCCCTGAAAATCATTGTGTTGAATCGGCATATACTATCAGACATTTGCCTTAGCCCTGAAAATAAAGGGCGCTTAAAATAGGATTAAATTATTCTTACCTTGAAAATAATATAGTATTTATGAACATATCTAAGGGACAATGTTTTTTTTCATATCAAGTTTTTAACTTAAATTACCTCTCTAGTAGGTATTACCTGTACAAGTACTGAACACTCTTTGCAAGCCATGCCATAATTTCATATTCATAATGAAATGCTGATCTGCTAGTTTTTTGCACCATGTCCTGTTCTTCTAGATGCCTGCAGCAACTGGTGGAAAAATGTAGAAAAATTACTGAGCAATTGTTTTGTGTCCCTATGAAAATTAGGGGAAACAAAAGTCTATTATTTCAAAGGAACATTTTTCATCCTTGTTGTTTATTATCTTTGAGACCAAGAAGGCCATTACAATTGCATACATATCAAGGGATACCTTCCCATGTTACACAATAATTGCTTTGCCAGAGCAGTTGTACCTCCAGGCTCCTTATCTTTCCCAGTTTTTAGGCTGGTCACTATGAATAAGCAGTAGTAAAATAACTATCATTTGCATTTTCATAAAGATTTGTGTTCATTTGTATCAGATGCTAAAAGGAACCTGAACTTTAAAAAAATATAGAGGCCTTGAGCTATATGCATTGGAATCAATCTCTCTATATACATGAGTCTCTTGAGACATTTGGTGAAGGCCATAAAAAGTTTCCTCAGTCACTTTTTATTTCCAGTTATCAAATATGAAATATAACAATAAATAGAATTGATCAGCAGAGAATAAAAACATAATATATGATTTTCAAACCACCAACAAATCATAGAGTTCACATGGTTTGAGCACTATAAGGGAGCAGGGAGGTGTTCTAAAGGCTCCCATGCTCAGGCTTTACATGAAAATACCTCCTTTTGGACAATCTTTTACCTTCCCAGAGATGACCTCCCTGATTCAGTCTTCCATAGGCTAATTAGTTTATTACACTCCCTGCTTTGTAAGATGTGCCTAACACCTATGCTCAGGTTTGGGTACTGAAGTGCATTTGTGATTGTTATTTTTTGGTTGTAAGTGGCTGTGTTTTGCCTGAATAAAGAGAAGTGGGGCTCAAATATAAGGGCACAAAAGCAATCAGGTAAAATAAAAATAAGCAATGAGGGGAGCAGTGGTGTTTTCTCTAGTTCTTCAAAACTGAGGCCAAATTTTCAAGTCTACAGTTTAGGCTGCAGGGACTGCTGTTTACTTGTGTTTGAAAACATCAAGCAGTAGCTATGACCAAGAGAAGTCTTTACTGAGTCATAATCTAGACTTCAGTCTATTGAATCTCTTACACATATCCATTTTAGAATCTAAACTCTTCTGCTAAGC